TTCCCACATTCCATGTTTGTATTCCCTTCCTTCCAAGTAAGAACGCTAGCTCCCCAAAATTTCAATATATTTACTCTTTTGTTCAATCCCATAACACAAAAAAATTATTTAAATATTGTTACAACACTATGAAAACAAACCAATTTTAAAAAATTCAAGATTTGCTTCCAGTTCTTTTTTTTTCTTTAGATTAAAGATATATAGACAAAGGACAGTGTCAAAAGTTACCTGAATAAGCTCTTTTTCTTTCCCATTTAATGTGATTATGTTAGTCATTTGATATACTTATGTTCATTGATTTCTGTTTGTATTTGGTTTTATTGTTCCCTTTCCCATCTTTGCTGATTTAATTTTATGTTTTGAATTTGTAGGTAATTAACATGATCTCATATGTTAAACATTACAAAAAAAGGATACTCATAGAAGTGTCATTGTCCCTTGTCCCTTGTGTCCCTGGTAGGTAAGCAATTTGATTATTTTCTGGTTTATCCTTTCCGTGTTTCTTTTAGGAAATGTAAGCACAAATATGTGTTATTTTTTCATTCATGCCATTAGTATAATTGTTATTTGTAGAATTTGGCCTTTCTCTTAGTCCCTGAAATTCTGCAGCTTCATGTGTTGTAGTGTAGATTCGTTGTTATTAACCCACATTGGTATTTGGAGTGTTTTTTATTTTAAGAACTTATTTTATTCTTTAAGTTGGGAAACTTCTCTGATATTTCTCTTAAATTTCTTCACTTCTCTTCTTCTGTAACTCCTATTAGATGTGTGTTGGAGCATCTCAGTTTATTCTCCATGGTTCTTAACTGTTCTTTAATATTTCTATTTCTATATCTCTGTTATCTCTGTTCTGTTCTTTTTCAATTAAGTTCATATTGTCATATCTACTTATTCTTGTATTATTTATCATTTGTTCATATCTTTGGTTCATTTTAATTATGTTATGCCTTCCTTTATCTCTGGCTAGGCTAACATTCTTATTTTAGTCTTTTTCACACTGTCTCTTAAAATTAATTTTACAAAGAGTTAATTCATGTTCTAATCATTGATTTCATTGGTTGTCTTTCTTAGCTACAGATTTCATCATTTCATTTCAAATTTGGGCTAATGGGCCAATTTTGAGTCAGAGGGATTATTTTTGTCTCTTTTTCTTCATAGTCAGTAGTTTTTTATTTTCACAGGCCTTTGAAACTACCTCTCCTATAAACCCAGTCCCAAGCCTGATATTATAATGGCATTTTAAGGTTTCAGCTCTGTGGGATTTTAGAGGTATCGAGATCCAATATTTTTAAAATAATTAATTAATTAATTAATGTTTTGGCTTCACTGGGTCTTAGTTGCTGCACTCAGGCTTTCTCTAGTTGTGGTGAGTGGGGGGTACTCTTCGTTGTAGTGCACAGGCTTCTCATTGCAGTGGCTTCTCTTGTTGCAGAACATGGGCTCTAGGTACACGGGATTCAGTAGTTGTGGCGCATGGGCTTAGTTGCCCTGTGGCATGTGGGATATTCCTGGACCAAGGCTCAAACCTGTGTCCCCTGCATTGGCAGGCAGATTCTTAACCACTGGACCACCCGGGGAGTCCGAGATCCAATCTTTGAGTCAGTGGGTTTCTAGCTCAGTTCCACCTCAGGCTGTGTTTTTGTAGTCCTACTTCCTTGGCTCCACAGCTTTCTATAAACTATAAAACATAGCTTCAGGGATAAAACTGTCAACCCTTTCCCCCCCGTCCCTTTATGCATGTGGACACCCCCTACAGCAAATCCCTAGCCTCAAGCAGTGAGCCTAGTTTTTGTCACCCATCTTACATAAAACACTTTTATCCCATTATTATTTGCCACTCCTGACTTCTGGCTCTGGAGGCCAGCAGGTCTTCTGTTTCAACATCCCCTTCCCAATTTACACTTCTGCTCTGTTTCTCAATATAACAACATATCTATTGTCATCAACCTCAAATTTCAGTTGAGGATATTAAAGTGCAGTTAATGAGTGAAAGTGCTGGGATTCAAATCCAGATTTCCTGGCTTCAGATTACACATTTTTATTAGTGACCCCAAGTAGCCTTTCTGTTGGCTTTTATTTCTCCATTTAGTATTTTTCTAAACTTCTACTGAGTTTAGACATTCTTTAATACTTTGGACTATAAATGAGATGAGAGTACTTTTCTTCTTTAACGGCATCATAATACGGTGAAAGGGCATTGGGCTATAAGTAAAATTACCTGGGTTCTGTTCTTGGCTGGGAAGTTACTTAAGTCTATGGGCCTCAGTCTTTTCTAGAACTTTGTGGTTTGGCTGAGATGAGCTTTAAGTTCCCTTCCAGCTGTAATGGTCTTTGAATCACCTTAGTTTGCTCCTTTCTCAACAAGCTATAGGTTGTCAAATATCACTTATTTTTAAGATATGTGTATAATGTGTCACTAAGACTGTTCTTTGCAAAAAACCTTCTGTAATAAAACAGAATGGGCTCATCACCAAAAGCAGATGGTTAGTAAGTGATTTAATGATTCCACATGGAAGTTTCTGTTAACCCCTGGGCTAATATCTCTCCTTCCCTGCTTTTAAATACATATATATTATTACTGGAAGAGGTAAAGTAATGTAACTAAGCAAAACATGCCCAGTAATTTCCAAGGATACACTAATGGGCCACCTAGGCAAATCTATCACTGTTTATTCTGGAATCGATATATGAATACCTGAACTATCAAATTAAATATTATGACATTGAATCAGACTAGATAAGAAGTTAAATTTTTTAAATGTAGACAAATGGGCAAACACTTCACAAAAGAATATATATTAATGGCTAATAATCACATGACAAAGTGCGTACTGCAAATTAAAACCACAGTGAGATAAGGTATAAATGGCAAAAATCAAGACTAACAACAGTAAATTGTCAGTGATGGTGTGGAGCAACTGGAACTCTCATACATTGCTAATGGGAGTGTAAAATGGTACATGACTATGGAGACATGTTCTGCAATTTCTTCTAAAGTTAAATGTGTATGTACCCCATGACTGAGCAATTCCGTCTGTAGGTATTTACTCAAAAATGTATGAAGCATAAGTCCACAAAAACTTAAACAACAATGTTTCTAGAAAACCTATTAATAAAGCTAAAATCTGGGAACAATGCAAATGCCCCTGTCAGGATAATAAGAAAACAAACTGTGGTATATTAATTCAATGGAATGCTACTTAGCAATAAAGAATAATGAATTATTCTGACACATAACAGCATGGGTGGACATAAAAAATATATTAACTGAAAAGAGCTACATGCAAAAGAAAAATACATACTATCTGTTTCTATGCAAAGCCCAAGAACAGGTGAAACTAATCTATGGGGCTAGAAGTTAGAAAGTTGTTGCCTCTATGGAAAGAATTGACAGAAAAGGATACAAGGAACTTTCTGGGATGGTGAAATTATTCAGTATTTTATTTGAGGGAGTGACTATACAGGTGTATAAAATTGTCAAAACTCAATGGACTGAACACTTAAGATTTGTTCATTTTATTGTATGTTAATTATAGCTCAATTAAAAAGTGACATAGAGAAACATAAATTCCAGTCGAGCCAGCCTATTGCTATTCACACCTTACACTTTTCAAGAACTCAGTATGGGTTAGTTGAAATACAAATATCTCTTACTACATGTTTTCTTGAACTTTGTTTTAGTTGGAGAACTGAGAAATTGCACTGTCAGCTTTGTACCTGAACAGAACCAAACATATAGTGGTTCAAATTTAATGCAATGTTCCCCAAGCAAAGCTAACAAAGTTGGTTTCTTCCCAACAAAGTTGGTCACAGAAACTTTCTCCAGCTAATCTACTCTGAAGAACACTGTCTCATTACATTTTTCCTGAAACCTTTTTCCTTAAAATTGTGTTTCTATAATTAGAATGTCCTACAAATGCATTCTTAATTTCCTACGTACCTCCTACTGAATAAGGGAAGAAGAGGAAACATGAGATTAGCAATGAAAGCTCTTTCCCTTAGCTAGGTTGTAGTCTAAACTCCTTTGTAAGGTAAGTCCTATAAGCTCTTTATTGCTGTATAAATTCACGGTTGTATGAAGGAAAATGATCTGGTGGTGACAGATACAGTATGAAGCACTGTAATTAGTGACTCATGACTCTGAGTTTAGTCATACTTAGGTTTAAATATTTTGGCTCCAGCACACACTAGCTGTGTCCTTTAAACAAAGTTTCAATTTCTGAGTCTATGTTTTTATTTATGTATTTATTCTTGTACAATAATAATGTGATATGTGGTAATAATATCTGCAAAAATGTTTGTTTTTATAATTTAAGTAAAGTAATAGTGTAATGTTTGGTACATAGTAGGTAGCCATTATTATCATTATCAGGCTATACATTATTGTTTGTTTACTTGTTTGTGTCCCATACTAGATTGTAAGCTTCTCAAGGGCAGAGACCATGACTTACATTTTTTCACCAGCACCCAGTATAGTTCAAAAATAAATGAATAAATAATTTGTTTCATTTTAAGGATCTCTTTTCATTATTAATTCAATAGCCATGCAACCTAATAATAATTTTTGAAAGGATTAATTGGTGTTTGATTCTTGGCCTTAAAAATCTTTTTGAGGGACTTCCCTGGTGGCCCAGTGGCTAAGACTCCACACTCCCAATACAGGGGACCTGGGTTCGATCCCTGGTCAGGAAACTAGATCCCACATGCATGCTGCAACTAAGAGTTCGCGTGCCACAACTAAAGATCCCATGTGCTGCAACTAAGACCCAGAGCAGCCAAATAAATAAATCTTTTTGATTTTCTTGGTTTTGGTTGACATTCTATACTTCCCATAACCCAGTAATACCATATGCAATTTCTACAGTGAAAAAATAAACCAGTTGATATTTAATGACCTTCTGGACATAAACTTCATCCTCTAAGCACATATTTAAAACCCCATCTCTTAGGGCAAAAAATTTAAATATGGACAGCGATCATTTTCTGTTGCATTCACTCTACCCTTATCCAAGTACTGCTATGTTGGTGCTTGACTTGTGTGCGGATAACTCTCCCTACCACCAAGATTATAAATGCTTTGTACCCAATAGTTTTTTGTGCCCACCCTTCAACCTCAACGACCTGATATGGTTGAATGTACATTATATATATTAATAGACATCTGTTGAATGAATGCATAAATGAGAAAAAGTATTGCACAATTCCAACCCCTATATAACAAAGGGCTACATTATGTGGTAATGGACAAAGACTGTTAGAGCAAGGAAGGATGTTTAAAGTTATCTGTTCAACTTTGCTTGAGTCTGGACAGGGAAACAGAAATGCTAAATATTTAAATAGAGGGAATTTCAATGTAGGGAATTGGCCATACCTGTGATAGAAGAGCTGAGAAACCAAACAGGGGCTGTTGAGGTAACACGGAAAACAAAAACCACCCTTAACCTGGTAGGACCAAAGAAAGGTGTTGTTGTTTCCAGACTTAAGAAGCTGGGACTGTCCATATTAGCCAGAGCCATGGAGGAGACATAGCCATTATTGGAGACATCACAGAAAGCATAGAAGAAAGAAAAGAAAAATGCTGCTAGTTTTCCTCTTCCCCTTTACTCTTTTCCTATGGGTTCTGGGGCCCAAAACTACCTAGGAGCTTGAGGGCAAAGGAGCCTAGTTCCCTAGTAATGATACAGGGAGCACAAGGGAAGGGAGAGGAGGGACCTGGGAGCAAACTGGCAGCTGACCAACAGAGGTTCCTAAAGAAAGAGGAGCATGGGTTAGGTCTTGAAGGATAAGTTGAATTTCAAGACTTGAAGGGTCAAGAATGAGCCACTTGTGGAAAATGGGACCTACGTGAGCAAATACAAAGTGGTGTGTGGCATATTTATGACAGAATAGGAAAGCCACTCTGAGTAGATGAGGAAGTGCATGTAGAGTAGTACTGGGATTAATCTAGTCAACAGGATTATACCATGACATGGTATGCTTTGAAAACTTGACAAGGAGCTTCAGAATTATTTATAAAAAAATCATTACAGATAATTGAGTAGAGGAGTGACATGATGAAAATGGTGTTGAAGGAATAATTTCTCGAAGGGGTATGCAGAGTGGGTTGGAGTGAGAAGAGACCAGAGACAGGGAAGCCACAAATCTAGCCACTGCAATAATTCACATGTGGACCAGCAAGTCTTCACAAGGTAATGGCAGCAGGTATAGAGAGGAATAAATAGACTTCAGTGTTTGACAGACTTTTCTAATTATAAGAGGTAAAAATGAAGAATAAGTTAAAAATGATGCCAATTTTTCAGCCTGACTAACTGGAAGAATAACTGTAATTGAGATGAGCTGGTGAAAGAAGATGATGTATACCCTTTGGATGAGTTGGATTTGAGATAATGGCAAAATATAAACAGACAAATCTAGGAAAACAGACACACTACTGGCACGTAGTTGAAAGAACAGAAGTGGCAGTGTGGTTTTGGAGGTCATCAGCTGGCTAGGAGAATGAATAAAAAGGAGATGAAAAGAGAATGCATGGGAGAGGGATTATTTTGAGAGCAAAGGACTAGCCTTGGCTAATGTCCTAAGAAGCAGGAGATAAAAAGGAGTTAGTATTTGTTTTTCTCTTTCTGACATAAAGGTAACAGAGTGCAATTAGAAAGGTAGGAAGACATGTAGAATTTAAGAAGGAAAATGAAAAGACAAGTCAGGACACGTTGGGGAGTCAGTATTGTACAGGGGCAGGGAATATGGTTCAACTGGTAACGTGTCCTCACATAATAAGCAAGCCAAAATTCGTGTTTGAATGAAAGAATAGAAGAAAAGAACAAAGTATGGTCATAAAGTGTTGAATGATACAGAGAATTTGGTGGAAATGCAGACCAAGAAGACCTCTTGCTGGATTTACTCTGTATCCTTTAGTAACAAAGATTACCTCTCTATTCTCAAGTTTTGTTAAAATGTAGTGATGTATTTCTTTCCATTAAAAAAATCCACCACACACACACACATACACACACTCAATATAATTATCTTCTCTTCCAGTTTCTTTCCTTGTGAAAACTGTATGTCAAAATTTACAGTGTCCTACAACATTAACGGTGTTACATGTTTTAGGTTTCCTTGGTTGTAACTCCATATAGGTGAAACTTTCTTTTTGTAGTACTATTTATCTGCCTGCAGAGGTTGAAATTTGCCTGGGAGTCATCTAGGTTCAATTAATTTCTGTTCTGAGATCAAAAAGAGACTTAGGAGGGAGTTAAACTCATTTGTAAAGAGTTGGAGGCCATTTGATAATAAGCTATCAATATGTACTGGCCTCAGCTCAGTGGGAAGAGTAGACTCTATAACTGTCTCTCCAGAGAGGAGTCTGTTAGTGGTGAGTGACAAGACGGGAAAATAGGAGAGGGAGTGTCTCATATGTGGAAAGAAGGTCTGCAGGTAAGTATGTGCACAGGAAAGCCATGCTATTTCACATGAGAAGACCTGGGTCCTTGCCTGGCTCTGCCATCCCTGGGTGCATGTTTTTGGACAGATCATTAATTAACCTCTCTGGACCTTACATAGCTTTTGAGAGGATCTACCAAGGGAAGATGAATATGTGGAACTCTTTTTTTTTTTTTTTTTTTTTTAATATACTTCACCCAGTAAGATGAAAACCTAGAAACCTGTTAGGCTTCTTGTCAGAAGGCCACACAGCAGTTGGTGAATTCTCTGCCTAACTCCTCAAGGTTGCAGGAAGTCTTCTGGGCTTTACCTGTACACACCCCCATTAATGGAGTCCCTACAGCTGATTCCAAGTCCAGTTCAAGACTTGCGACATCTTATAGTACTTGAGCAACAGAGACAAATACTCTCAGGTGCCCTGTCACTCACTGCCCTTTTCTCGGACTGATTCTGTGTATTTCTTGAGCTCAGAGAGAGAAATTCCAGTGGTCAGAACTTTAATAAAGGCAGCTGTAGTAGCCATTAACTGTGTGACTGACCCTTAAAAGAGGCCAGCAAATTAATACCGAGCATAACAATATTTGACTGCTTATAGCATCACTGCTGCGTTTATACACATTCACACACACACACACGGAGGAAATATTTATGGGTATTTGTGTCTTATCACATACATAACTGGGGGGAGAGAGAGATGAAGTTTGGGTGGGGACAGAGTCTGGGAAGAGAAAGACAAGAAAAAGAAGACAGCATGCTTCATTCTTTCCATTGAATGGCTTTGAGTGCCTATAATTAGTGTGGACTGGGGTGGGCAGGGTGGAGGAAGCTGGCAGGTCTTGTTTAAAAACTATTTTCTGAGATTCTTGGCATAAGCAGAACCACTGGGGCCCAGGTGACCAAGGGTAGCACTGAGCTGTGGAAGAGGCACTTCTCATGGACGCTGCCTGGAAGCCAGCACAGCCCTGGAGACAGAGGCCTGGAAACTCTGACCACTGTGGCTGGAATGTTGCGTTCTGACCAGGGCTACAGCAGCAACGGTGAGGCTTCTTCTAGAAGGTTCGAGGGCAACAGAGGAGAACCAGCAGAACCCAGAGAAGGAGAGGGAAGGCCAAGATGGGCACCTCATGGTCACTGTAGCTGAAAGACTAGTTCATGGGCCTGGCGTGTGGTCTTGTCCAAGGATCTACGGAACAGTTGGAGCAGGGATCATGAGACTTAATTTTTCATATCAGCTTTGTCACTGACTTGCTTTGTTCCTTAGATAGGTCACCTTACCTTTCAAAGTTCTGTGGTCTGGGAAATGAGGATTTTGGATTTGATCTGAAATATCCTCGTAGTCTAACATTATTCATCTCCTGAAATTATTATTCTCTTGTCAATTAATTAAACAACTATTTTCCAAGTGCTCTATGTCAAGTTACTTCTGACAAATTCTAGATGTGGAATCATAAGCATGTCGTTACCTGTGATCCTTGGCAGATCCAGCTTCAGGTCCTATTTTTGTCATTCACTGCCTCTGTGACTTTGAACACCGTTCTTTATCTCTATCACCCTCAGCTTCTTCATCTGTGTAATGAGGATAGTGACACCTCCTGTCAGGGTCATTAAAAACAAATATACAACATATCAGGGACATCGTTGGTGCCCAGTAAGTGGTAGCCACTGTTAGTGTATTTTTTTTTTAACATCTTTATTGGAGTATAATTGCTTTACAATGGTGTGTTAGTTTCTGCTGTAAAACAAAGTGAATCAGCTCTATGTATACATATATCTCCATATCTCCTCCCTCTTGCATCTCCCTCCCACCCCTCTAGGTGGTCATAAAGCACCAAGCTGATCTCCCTGTGCTATGTGGCTGCTTCCCACTAGCTATTTTACGTTTGGTAGTGTATATATGTCCATGCCACTTTCTCACTTTGTCACAGCTTACCCTTCCCCCTCCCCATATCTTCAAGTCCATTCTCTAGTAGGTCTGTGTCTTTATTCCCATCTTGCCCCTAGGTTCATCATGGCCTTTTTTTTTTTTTCCTTCTTAGATTCCATATATATGTGTTAGCATTCGGTATTTGTTTTTCTCTTTCTGACTTACTTCACTCTGTATGACAGACTCTAGGTCCATCCACCTCACTACAAAGAACTCAATTTCGTTTCTTTTTATGGCTGAGTAATATTCCATTGTATACATGTGCCACACCTTCTTTATCCATTCATCTGTCGATGGACACTTAGGTTGCTTCCATGTCCTGGCTATTGTAAATAGTGCTGCAATGAACATTGTGGTACATGACTCTTTTTGAATTATGGTTTTCTCAGGGTATATGCGCAGTAGTGGGATTGCTGGGTCGTATGGTAGTTCTATTTTTACTGTTTTAAGGAACCTCCATACTGTTCTGCATAGTGGCTGTATCAATTTACATTCCTAACAACAGTGCAAGAGGGTTCCCTTTTCCCTACACCCTCTCCAGCATTTATTGTTTCTAGATTTTTTGATGATGGCCATTCTGACGGGTGTGAGATGTTATCTCATTGTAGTTTTGATTTGCATTTCTCTAATGATTAATGATGTTGAGCATT